CTTTATAAAAAATTATTTTTTTTTACTAGGAAATCTGGCAGTGGATGGAGCAGCTACACAGTCATCAACATTTACGGGCTGGTTTGCTGAAAAGGCCATTGATAGTAATCGAGGTCTCCAGCAGAATACAGCATGCGCATCAACCCTTAATCAGACTAACCCGTGGTGGAGGCTGGATCTCCGTCATATTTACAGAGTTAGCAGAGTGGTGGTCACTAACAGAAAAGACTGCTGTACCGAACAAATGAACGGAGCGGAGATTCGCATCGGAAACTCTTTGGAGAGCAACGGCAACAACAATCCCATGTGAGACCCTTGAGGTTGAAAGAATGTGAGACATCGAGCACAAATGTGAAGGACTACTGCAGATATGACAGTATGTTTATATCCTTTCTCTCTGTCTGTGTTATTCCTGTTATTCCTGCTATTCCAGCAGGTGAGTCCTACAGCTACTCGTGCGGTGGGATGGATGGACGTTACGTGAATCTGATCATTCCTGAAGACATGAAGATACTCACTCTCTGTGAGCTGGAGGTCTATGGAGAAGGTGTAACAATATGTTTTGTCAACAAAACAGTGAGGAGCACTTCTACATTTTTACTGAAAGCAACCTCTACTAATTCATAATACATGCATCACTGTATCTTTGTTTAGGTCCAGTTTTAAAAAGATCTTTTGTAAAGATGCGTCCAGAGTCCAGAGTTGATTTAACTGACCCTTCCGTGAGAGAAAACGTTCTGAAACAGGTGAGAGAAAATTCAACTGCCAACTGCCATGATTACTGTAAAACACCAGCAGCTCTCATCTGGTTTCCCTCTTTTTAAAAACCGACCTCATAGTCCTGAAATTGATTGAAATTCAATGAAACCTTTAAATGTCTTTGTGAACATTTTAAGGCTTGCTGTGATTGTTTTTGTATTGCATTTTGGAGATTTACATGAAACCTGAATTGTTACTGAAGATTTCAGTGATTATATTTAAAATCAAGTTTTTTTCAGAAAATTCACCAAATACTTTTACTAATGAGTTGATATTGCTTCAGAGCTGCTTTATGCTGAATTGTTTTAATCAGGGTTTACAGTGGTATGCTAAAAGTTTCTTTGAGACATGAAGATTTGAGCATACTGTCATATCTAATCAGTTTAGTATGAATATGTTATTTTCAGTTGGGATCTGCTCTGGTTGACAGATTCACAAATGTGACTCTACGGTGGTCTCAGACCCCTAAACGGGTGATCCAGAAGGTGACTGCTGGTAAAAGTGAGTCTGTTCTCACAACTGTACAATAACACATGAAATAAGCTGCACAAATAGGAATAATTCGAAATTTGTTTTGAGATGTAATAGGCAAATATTTTATTTACAGGTCGTTGTGGCAATAGAAGATAACACACTGGACATCAACACTTTGTCTTTATTTCACGAACTTTATGTTTGTTAAAGATTTAATTCACTTCTGCCTACTTCCTTTTAGTGCTTATTCACATATTTAAGAATTATAATGCATCTTGTATAAATGTGTATTTAAAACAAATAGACAGTAATAAATATAATGAAAATAATCAAAGAAATGTTAAATGTACATTCACACAACCCACGAGTGTAATTTTAATGTGAGTTGTGTATTCACTGTCATAGGCTATTTTATTCTTATTGTAGCATCTATATATTATGTTTTATTTATTTATTTACTCTTTTTCCCACCATTTCATGTTGTTGGAACTGTATTGAGGTGAACAGAATCTCACGTGAATGGAAAGAGTACAGCGCAAGCGTTCTCACTGTTGTCCAATGGCTTGCCTAATAAACCAACTTGCCTAATTAACCTAATTATTCCTCTATGCCTTATCAAGAGACCCATGCAGTGGAGAACAAGGCAAGGCAAGTTTATTTGTATAGCACATTTCATACACAATGGTAATTCAAAGTACTTTACATAAAAGAAAAGAAAAAAATAATAACAATAAAACAAGGAATTTAAAGTGATTTAAAAAATTGATTTAAGAGGTTTAAAATGAATTTAAGTGAAAATGATTATACATAAAATATAGTGCAATCAGTTCGGACATCGCACAGTGCTCATTCAATAAATGCACAGCTAAACAGATTAGTTCTGAGTCTAGATTTAAATGTGTAGCACATCTGATCTCTTCTGGAAGCTGATTCTAACTGTCATAATAACTAAAAGCGGACTCCCCTTGTTTTGTGTGCACCCTTGGTATTTCTAACTGACTTGATCCTAATGATCTGAGTGGTCTGTTAGGTTTATATTCAGTGAACATATCTGCTATGTATTTAGGTCCTAGGCCATTGAGTGATTTATAAACGAGTAAAAGTACTTTAAAATCAATCCTAAATATAACTGGAAGCCAGTGTAAGGACCTGAGGACTGGTGTGATATGCTCAGATTTTCTGGTTCTAGTCAGAATTCTGGCAGCAGTGTTCTGGATGAGCTGCAGCTGTCTAATGGTCTTCTTGGGAAGGCCGGTGAGGAGACCATTACAATAGTCCACCCTGCTGGTGATAAAGGCATGAACAAGTTTCTCCAAGTCTTGACTGGAAACAAAACATCTAATTCTTGCAATGTTTTTGAGATGATAGTATGCTGATTTAGTTACTGCTAAAAAGACAAGTTAGAGAGGTTTCTAAAGACCCAAGAACAACTGACAAGATACTAGTGATTAATTTAGCCAAGTATGGGATTGATGTCTCAATGGAGACGGTCACTAGAGCCCTGCACAGGAATGGACTGCAAGGTTGCCGACCAAGAAAAACTCCACTTCTGAAAAAGAGACACCTCCAAGCTAGACTGAAGTTTGCCAAGAAAACAATACGATGATGAGTAAATGTGATGCCCTTATGATCCCTCAAAAAATTAAATTGACAGATGAATATCTCATAATTTTGCAGTTACTAAATGACACAAAGTACGTTGAAAGAGTTTGTAAAAGTAGTTCTGACCGTTACGCAAACACACCCACAGAATAGTACATCAACATGAAACACACATGCGTTTGTAATCTTGAAATCTAAGTGTTCCCTTTCACTAAACTAGAGAGAGACTGATCAAAAACAACATGCAGAACAAACACTGTGGATGAATGTGTCATGTCAGACGTGTAGCGTGAACTTTAAGAGATCTGGAGGTGATGGATGGATTATGTGTGTTTTGTGAGGATCTACTCACCTTCATGACACACGAAAAGGAAACAGGTTGGTGCAAGAGATGTCAATCCATTGTTTCTGAGCTTTCGGTTCAATCACTGCACATTTTTCATGAGTCTCTGAACAGACCGATCCAGACTTGTGATCCAGATTTATTATTATCATTAATGATTTTCTTAACCTTCTCATTCTCATTCTGGTTTTTCACACTGACCAGATCAATGTGATTCTGTCTGCAGTAACTCTGAGCGTCTCTCCAATTCATCAGCTGATTGACAAAGACGAGTCCTGTATTCGCTTTAAGAAAAACAAATGAGAAAAGATTAATGAATCAGTTTGTACATTGTTCTTATGCTGCTTTATGGTTTGGATGTTAACAGGAGCAGTGGCAGAATCATCAGAAACACATCATTCAAAGACTTGAGCTGCTTCTACAGCTGGTGATATATTGAATATTCACAATATAAGATATTTTAAAGTTATACCATTGTCTATCTAAATTCTCAATCTCACACGCTTACCATCAAAGCGATCGGTCATCTAAAACTCAAACACTTCAGTTGAAACTTCGTGATTGTCAGAGATCTTCAAAGAACTTAAAGTCTTGCAAACTCAGACTTTTCAGCAGAACTGCTGAAGCCTCTGCGTCATCAAGGAGCCAACCAATCTCCGGAGGGCTTCCCCAAAAAAAGACGTCATCCTGACGTCACCGCAGTAACCAATCCGCAACGGGATTCCTCAAGCAGCCAAACAAGGAAACTCAAAACGCAAGTAAACAAACAAAGCTTCTATCTACTGAACTGGTGACAAGATAATTTTAAGCAGTGAACATAAGCCAAGTCTCTGTTTTACGAATTTTCTCAGGTTGCAAGTAAAAGAACTGTAGCGAATATCTTGCTAAAACTTTGGGCTTTCCTCAGTACTCCATTAACATCACTTCCCTGAATCTTCGTGTGTATGTGTGTGTGTGTGTGTATGTGTGTTTTAGCTTAGTTAATGTAATCTAGAATAACCAATAAATTCTTGTTTCATTTATAAAGAATTATTGTCTTGTGTCGTGATATTTTAAAGTTAAAACTCTGCCTAGATCCTTGTTACCTTGCTAAAATTTAATAAGAGTACCATTTTGTTCATGTGTCGTTGGCCACGAAGCAATATGAACAGAATCGTCAATATATACGGACATTAACGTCTCGCTGGACGAGTCGTTGATACAGTGTAACTAACAAATTTGAAATCAGTTCTAATCAGGTTGATTTCGAATCTTCGGATTCGAGTCCTCTCAAAACCTGAATTAATTAATAATAATTAATTCCCTAAGAAAAGTAATCCAGTCATTACAGAGTGATCTAATGTTTAGGAGCCCAAACTTAAAAAATTGTTTTTGTTCATTTATTTGACATTTTTCTGGTTTAATCACGATCAGATTTTTTCTAGATCCTGCATTAAATTTATATTTTGACCTCACTATTCGGGAAACAGATACAGTCTTTATAGATTGGACAGCGCAAGTAATTCTATCATTTAAGTGGGTAGAACAAAAGCCATCAGAGCAGTTATTTGAGAATTGGCTTACTAGTCATATGGAGTGTAGCGTCCTGGAAAAGTTGTCCGACAGGGGTTCTGCTCCGACTCTGCTGGGGTGCAGGCCATCAGCACGAAAAAGCCTAGGTCGCTCCCAGAAAAGATAAAAAATTAGACGACAAAGAATTAACTTGACGGAGCTCAAACTCAAAACACACGGCAGCAACAAACAGGACGTGACGTCAACCGTGAGTCCTGTGCTTTCTTTCAGGATAAACAAAAGCAATGATTAAGTATCTCTCAAACACTTACACTATAAATAAAACCTACAATGGCAATGTGATGAGCTTATAATTGAGCCTATAATTGAAGAGCTTTAATAGTGAGTAATTTGTGCCATTACAGTTTGTAGTTGTTTAAACACATGCTCTATAAATACAGATAAAAGTGTCTTACATCTAAGTCCCATTCAATATGCAATGTGATACAAAAGCAAATGCTGTGACACAGTTTTGAAAAAAGAAACACAGAACAGAAAAGACCATTTTAAGTTTAAAAGTTAAAGAACATTTTCTCTGCACCTATTAATAACTCTGGTATTAGAAACTTAAGTGTCTTAAGTTGTCCAAATCTTAAGGCTTTGTCTTCTCTGTTATACAGAATAATAAAGAACAGCTGTTATAGTGAACTCTGTGTAGGACATATAAAAATGTATTAATTAATGTATATTATTCATTTTATATTGACACTGACATTTTTAAAATTTATTTCTGGAGAGATATTATTGAGTTAACAGGCTATGGTGGTTTTGCTGTTGTAAACACTATTGTTGCTGTTGTTGTATGTGTTATTGAAGGTGTCCTGGTAGTGGTAGTGAGGGATCGTCCCAAATGAGGTCGTCAGGGCATCATGTGAGTAATTTTATTTACGGTTAAAGTATTATTCATAATTGTTTTTTCTAATATTTAGATTGGGCAGGCCTTCACAAAAGGGCCTTTAATTAAAAAAAAAAAAAAGAAATTTTGCCTCAAAATCAAGGGGCAAAGTGGCAGGTGCTCAAGCACAAACTTTTATTCTGGATGCGATTAGATTCTTTATAGCAGAAAGTCAAATTGTAAATCTAACTGATTCATAGATTCATTTTAGATATATTTGTTTTCAAGATATAATATTATTAATCACATATACTGTAATAACCATAATAATAGGCTATAAACAGTATCTATATTTTTGATATGAATAGGTCATATTCCATGTAAGTATAATAATAGTGGTTACAAAACATTCAATAATAAAACTATACATAAGGGTATATTGGTATTTCCATAATTATGTCAATAATAATGTCAATGTTGCACCCCAGCAGAGTCGGAGCGGAACTCATGTCCAACAACATCTCCAGGACGCTACGCTCCATACAAATCTTCTACAGTAAATCAAATCTCAAATAACTGCCATGATGACTTTTGTTCTACCCGCTTAAATGATAGAAGTACTTGTGCTGTCCAATCTATAAAGACTGTGTCTGTTCCCCAAATAGTGAGGTCAAAATATAAATTTAATGCAGGATCTAGAAAAAATCTGATCGTGAGTAAACCAGAAAAATAAAAATAAAAATTAACAAAAACAATTTTTGAAGTTTGGGCTCCTAAAGATTAGATCACTCACACCCAAAGCAGACCAGGGCCATATACAGACTT